CTGCGGGTTGGAACGAGATGAGCTTTGAGGTCCCTTCCAGCCCGCACCGTTCTGCGATCCCGGGGTTCCTTTGGAGCGCAGAGCCCAGCAGAAGGCAGAGCCTCCAGCCGGGGGCTTTCCAGGAGCTTTGGACCTTTGTCACCGTGAGGAGCTCTCTGCAGGTGGGTGGCTCTGCCTGTTCCCGTGTGGCTCTGCCTGTTCCCGTGTGGCTCTCACAGGCCGGTTCTTGATGTGTTTTGAAAGCTTTTTGATGGTGTTTTTATTGTATCACAACAACATTCTTGCCTTCTTCAGTTTCACAGTGTTGGTTTATAAACAATGCTTCTTGCAAGACTCTTTAGTTCCGTCAGTTTCCAGTTCCTGCCTGTGGAATATACATTCCTAAAACTGGAAGTAGTGGTGACATTTGTAACTTAATTTCCTTCGGGAAATTGTTTTTAACAGTAATTTTTCAAACTCAGAAAAGCGATGTCTTAATGCTTGTTATCCATCTCATTTGCTGTTTTTTAGTAATTTATTGAGAAAAAAAGAAAGTTTTATATATCCAGAAGCCACCTCTTGCCTCTCTGTACTCACTGTAGCAGTTTATTACTCACAGGTGGGTTTCTTTTTGGTTTCAGCAGCTTCAGGCCCTTTGAGGTCCTACAGGTGAAGGTTTATGTGGGTTAGGAGGGCACTTTCTGTACAATTTTAATTGCCAGATGCAGCAATTCCCACATGTGCTTTTATTGTGTTACCAAAAAAAAAAACCCAAACCCAAACAAAACAAAAAACAACCAACAAACCACAAAAGAAAAACCACAGCTGTAAAAATAACACATTTTCCAAAGGTAATATTACAAAAAGTACCATTCCTGCCATGGAGTGATCCATTAATACTGCTGGGAACAGCCCCTGTTAATGCTGGAAATGTGAATGGTTGCTGCAGAAGCTTTAAAGCGTTGAAGTGCTTTATTGAGCTGTTACCTGGGGACACACATTCACACATCAGCCACAGCCAGGGGAGTTGGGTTCCAGTCCCAAAGGAGTCTGTTCCCAATCCCTGTGGTATGAGGGGTGGGATAGCCTCAGGGACAGTGACTCTGCACGTGTGGCTCACCCATCTCTGGAGAGTGGGAAGGACAGGAGGGAGAGGAGGCCACCCCTGCGTGCTGAGGGCTTGGAGCTGCTGTGGGACACCAGGACAGGGCACTGGAGAGGGGACCTGGGCCCGGGGCTCCAGCACTCACAGCCGTGTTCCCCCTGGAGAGGGAACAGACACTGCCTGCCTGCAGGAGAAGGTGCATCCCAGGGGAGCCCTGAATGTCACAGGTGGGGCTCGAGCTCTTGTTTTCTTCCTGCTTAGAGAGTCCAGGGCTTCGGGAAGGGTCTGCAGCCCCTTCCCCAGCCTGGGGAGGTGGGAAGCAGGTGTAGGGCTGCCTTTGGAGGCCTCCACAGGCAGTGGGAAGGTGCCAGGAGCATCGTTTCCGTGTGGGTTCCCTCAGCCTGCCCAAAATCTCGAGTGACCCAGGGCTGAGGGGGCAGATGCAGCAGCTCCCTGTCCACCTGTGCTCCTCCCACAGCAGGAGCTCCTGTGACTTCCTGGGCCTTTCTGAGACCTGCTGTGGGACATTGCCTTCCCAGATGTGTAGGGAATTAGCATTCAGGGAGGGAACACACCTACTTTGTGCGTCCTTGCTTTCTGTGCAGGTCTTTTTGCCAGCCCGAATCAAGGGAGAAATTACAGCTGGGAAAAGTGACCAGGAACAGAACAGAACTGGTCACCCAGACCATTGCTGTGCTCCAGGACAGGATGGAATTTACACTGCCTGCATTCTGGCTCACCAGGTCTGACCTGTCTGCAAAACTCTCCAACAGAGCAGGGAGGGATAATCCAGACCTCTGACTTCCCAGGACAATCACTGGCTTTCTCCCTCCTCTGCAATTGCGTGAAAGATTCAGAGGAGAAAAAATTGGATTTTAAATAGATAAGGCTGGAAACAGGATTTTCTGCATTTTTACATGCTACAACATGAAATTAATTTACTTGACACTGTGGTGTCTCAGGAGTCAGTATCAATTTTTATAGCTTACATGAAAATAAATCTTTCTCTCTCCTTACAGCACAATGAGTTTACTGTATGTACATTTGCTGCTGTTTATATACACCAATATTTAGGTACAAGAACACATCAGGAACAGACAAACAGGTTCTTTCCAGCTCTAGAGAGGGCTGAGGGTAGGGTTTGGCAGTCTGTCGGGAAAGCAGGATGTGGCTTCGCACCAGTCCTGACGATGCCTGCACAGGTGAGGGCTGAGTGTGTGCTGCAGTGACAAAGCCCTGTGGGTTTGGGACACCCCAGGGGACACAGACAGGGTCAGTGAGCAGGGATGAGAAAAACGTGCTGTCCTTACACCACGTCTGTGGGGTGCAGGGATGCTCCAGGAAAACACAGACCAGACGATGCCTCCCGTGCCACGGGCAGGCGGAAATCCCACTCCAGCTGCTGAGCTGGCTCGGTTGCCCTCCTCCTCCTCCTCTTCCTCCTCCTCCTCCTCACCTCGGCCGAAGCCACCGCAGTTTCCTCCCCGGGGCAGGCGCCTCCCGCCCGGCTCAGGGCCCGCAGTTCCCCTCGGACAACAAAATGACCCTTCTCCAGGCGCCCGAGGCTGCAAACACATTTCGTGGGGGGCTCGGCTCCCCCCTGGTCTCTCGCTGCCGCCTCCGGAGCCGCTCAGTTGATCTCTCCCTCCGTGAACTCCTCCTTTATGGACTGTTTGCGGGATTTGCAGTCCGGGAGGTCGAAGCCGAAGTCGGCCCAGTCGTCGGCGGTGCCGCGGTTGGGGATGGTGATGGTGTGGCGCACGCGGAAGTGCACGGCCTCCATCACCCGCTGCCGCTGCAGCTCCCCGGAGCTGCCGATGGAGATGGTGGAGGCGTTGCTGCTGGAGCGGATCAGCTGCTGGGCCCCGTAGTCGTGGCTCTGCTTGAGCTCCTGCAGACCCCGCCAGATGATCATCCTGTACTGCTCCGGGATCTTCAGTGCTCCGAGATCCTGGAAGGACAGCAGCGCTGAGGCACAGCCGGCAGGGATGGGCTGTACCAGCGGGACCGAGCCCTGCACCCCCCGGTCATGCTCTGGGGGCACGTGGGCTCGAGGCCTGAGCACCCAACGGGGCAGGGATGGACCTCCCCCGGGTCACAACAGCAAGGCCGTGGGTGCATCATCCCCCAGGTGATTCCTCTTTTGTAACCCAGTTACTCAGCCACAGCGTTGCAGGTCAGAGATGTGTTTTGGGAGGGGTTCACATCAAACTGATGTGGAAAGGAGAGGAAGGACAGGGAGGGGACCATTGCCCTCAGACACAGGTTCAGAGCAGCATGTGAAGCATCCTTGTGCCTGTTCCCCTGGGCTTCTGCTCCAGCCCTGGCCCGGGAGGCTGGAGCAGCACCTGCCCCCTACACCAGGGTGGTGACAGGGGCTGTCCCAGCACCACAGACCGAGCTCACACAGCTGGGTGAGGTGGGTGACCTCCCACTGGGGCCCTGGGCCAGGACAGGCACGGGCACAGCGGGGACCTGCCAGGGATCCACGTTAGTGCCAACACAGAGACTCAGGAGTGTTACTGGAGCAGACAGTGAGTATGCAATTAGTAGCTACAAACGCCGACTCGGACACAAAGCTCAGCGCCCTGACACGAGTTTTGGCCATTCCAAACATTTCCCTGGACAGCTGACAGATGGTCACGGAGTTAGTTCAGCAAATGGTCCAAAACCAGGCTCAGGTTACGCAACTGGCCCCAGCTACCAGTGACAAATCATCATCTCTCCCACGGGTGTAGCTGCCAGGTGGAGATGCTGCTACACCTGCCTGGGGCAAAATGGGGTTGGGCAGGGGCTCTGTCTCAGCCAAAACACCAACTCTGGGATGTATGGGGCTTGCCATGGCTCAAAGGGTTTAGGATTATTTGTTTTCCTTCTTCTCATTCCCCTGACAGGCTGGGGAAGCCCCAGCTCTGGTGCCACCCAGGTACTGGCACCACTGTGTGGCAGCAGCAGAGGCTGAATGCTCTGGGGCACACACAGGTACTTCCAGCATCCCCTCTGTGTTTTTCCTGCCAGCTTTTGCCTGATCTTGGCTATTTCATTCCTGGCTTCCCTTGTTATAAATGCCCTGGGCTCAACTCCCTTATTTCAACCTCTTTTGTCTTAAAGATTAACAGGGGAAGAGGTGAGATCAGATTAAACCTCCCTGAGCTGCAGTGGGGTGTCCCTGCTGGCTCTGTGGGATTTGGGGTGTTCCACTGAGCACCTCAGATGTGTCTTCTGTGTTAGGTGGAAAAATCTCCCTGAGTTCTGGCCTGGGGATCTTTAATCTCTCTTGTTTCTGACAGTCTTGAGGAACTAGCTGAGATTTGTGGTTTTCATCAAGGCCTGAGATGCTGCGAGGCTGCTGGAGTGGGAGGCAGCAATCCTGGGAGCACACATTTTCTGTGAGGGGCTGGGGCACAGGATTCCCTTCCCTTAAAACACTTTTGGTTTTGCTTTTCAGACCAACAGCTGCTGGAAACAAGTGGTAAGAACAGATCTTCCCAAAGCATTTACCTCTATGGATAGGTTCTGCAGGTGGTAAATATTCTGTAACCCTTGTGAGGTGAAATAGTCGATGCAGTTTGGACACCCCAATCCTGTTAAAAAACTGCAGAAAAAGTTTGGAAAATAAAGTGGCATTAACTTCTCATGAACAACAGCTGTGCTGGAAACCATCACTGTGGGACAGACCGTGTCAGGCCATGGAGGAGTGGGGGGACACGGAGAGCTCCACGGGTGGGACCTCCACTGCCACTGAGGTCAAAGGGAAGTGTGGGATTATGTTCATTCCTAAAGCTACATATGTTTTTCTCCTGATTTCAGAGGTTTTGGCTCAGGAACTTACTCAGAATAATGTGAGGGAGCTCAAGCTACTGGGGAGGGGTGTCAGGACATGCCCTGGGCTGAGCAGCACAGCCAGGCTCTGCCCCAAGTGGATGCTGGTGCAGAAACATCTGTGGTCTTTTTAAAGACCAAAACATTAAAAAGCTGCAGAGCTGTGAATGCATTCCTGATGGGAACAGTCCACGAGGACCCATTTCCAGGCATTGCTGGAAGGAAGGGGAAGGGGGAAGCTCACAAGGCTACGTGCCATGGGACATGTAGGACAAGACCCTTGTCTGGATGCATTTAATTTCTGACTAATCAGGGAAGGGTTCCCATGGGGGTGTCTGAGGGCAGTGGGGCTTTCTGACTGGTCGGTAGCTGGGCTTTGGTTGCTGAGCTGAGAGGAACAGTCTGTGTGATTGGGAGCAGTGATTTCTCAGTTGGGGCCAGTGGCCAGTTGACCAGTTGCCAGCAGATGGGAAGGTTAGAGCGAGGGACACAGCAAAGAATGGCAGAGGACAAGACAGGCAGGGCCCCGGGTGCCCTCCCTACCTGACGAGGCTGGGGTCAGGGTTGTAGGGCGGCGGGGGGGTGCAGTGGGACCCCGACACCATGGACTGGGACGAGTGGCCCCCGTTCATCTCCCCGTTGGGCTGCATGGGATGGCTGTTCAGCATTCCAGGTCCTGGCAGGGACAACAAACGGACCTGTTAGACACCCCCTGCCGTGATCCCCCCCTGCCTGGGAGGGAGAGCCCTGTGCTGGGACTGGCCAGGGGAGCACGTACCCATGGGGCCCAGGCTGGGTGCAGTGCCAGGGCCGTGCTGGGCTGGCTGCCCCACCAGCTGGTTCACAGAGGGCAGCTTGTTGATCCCTGCGCTGTGGACTTTGTTCATGGGGGAGAGGACGGGTCCGTAGGAGGAAGGTGTCTGCAGCTGGCTCCTGTGCAGGGAGGGCACGTGCTGCTCAGCCTGGGCCGGGGGATGGAGCTGCCCTGCCGCAGCCTGCAGCTCCCCTCCAGCCCATCAGACCTCCCTGCCGAGGCTCCCTGCCCCTCCCTGGGGCTGTGGGGTCTCAGGGGCTGCAGCAGGACTTACTGCCTCTGCAGGAGCTGCTGCTGCTGCTGCCGGTAGGAATCGACCAGCTGCTGCGGGACCAGCTCCACCAGCTCCAGGCTCTCCTTTATCTTCATCAGGATCTCAAAGTTCTCCCGGCCCCGAACCTGGAGGAGGGAACAAGCCCAGGATTTTGCTGTATCCCTGTCTCACCTGGCCAATTCCTCGTGGTCACTTTTTTCCACCCAGAAATGCAAAGTGCACTGTCACTGTGGCCAGAGACTGCTCAGGATCCAGCAATCCCTTGAACACATGCATCCATGGATGCTTTTGCTCCTGTTTCCTGGGTTTCTGCCCAGCTCTGCTGCCCTGTGGAAGCCTGTGCATCCCTGACCTGCCTGACATCCCCCCCAAGGTGCTGCTGGCAGAGGGGACAATGCCACCACTGTCCCCAGCCGAGCTCTGACCCTGTGCAGCTCACCCACACTTACAGGCACGTAGTACATCTCCTCCTCCCCGTGCCTCCGTTTCTTGATGCCGGTCCCCAGCGCTGGGATGCTCTGGGGGCTCTGCTTGAAGGCTGGAAGGGAGAGGGGACGAGCGTTGGCAGGGTCCTGGGAGGCAGGGCCCAGGTGGGGAGCACCGGGCTCGAGCCATGCAGGATGCTAAAGCCATTCCCCCGGGGCTTGGCATTGGAGTGTCCCTTTGTTATTAACAATAATGAATAAATATTTCTGGCCATGAGAGCCCTGCACGGGCAGCTTTGGGCTCTGCAGGGAGAGGGGAGGGGTCCGACTTATAAGACTGGAGATTTAGTGGAGAAAGGTCAAAGCATCGTGCCTGGGTGTGGATTGGAGCCCGACCTTGAGGCGTGCAGGGGTTTGGGGTGCCCCGAGGGACTCACTGCGCTTGTTGGCGTTGCCGTTCTTGGCCGCGCTCTCGTTCAGCGCCTGCTGCTCCCGGAAATGATCCTCGTCGGCCTTCCGGTCCCTGCCGGGGCAGGCACAGATCCGTCCCTCGAAGGACCTCCTGCCCAGGACCTGGCCACTGGGAGAACAGAGCAATCAGTGACCCTGTTTCCCCTTGGGAAGTTGGTTGTGGCTCAGTCCAGCTCAGAAACCAGACCAGCAGTGTCCTCCCATCCCTCTGTGGGAAGGGATCCTCAGGGATGGATGGAGGCCCTCAGCAGTGGGCTCCTGGGGCAGAGGAGCTCCTGGGGCAGAGGAAGGCTCCAGCTGCAGGGAGAAGCCAACTGAGGGCTGGGTCCCTGGTCCCTCCATGCCAGCCTTTTCTGGGCTGGTAGAGGAGAACATTCCCATGCCATGGGCTGGGGCTGTCACGTCCCCTTCCCTGGGGGTGCTCCCTGCAGGGGAGGGTTCCTTCCCAAGGGTCCCCAGCCCTCCCACAGCAGGAGGGACACCCACCCCTGCTCCCACAGCCACTCACTCTCTCGTCTCCAGGGTGATGATGATGAGGATGGGCCTCCTGTTCATCCCTCCCACGCAGCTGCTGTTGCACATGAAGTTGTACAGGATGGTGGTGAACTCGGTCCCCACCTGCCCGGGAGGGGAGAGCAGGAGCTGAGCGGGGAGTGACGGGGGGAGGCAGGCAGGGACACTCTGGGGAGCGAAGAACTGGAGGGGGGGAAGCAGGCTTGTCTCCCCCAGGGAGCGAAGACGAGGGGCACA